TTTTCTCTCTCTCTTTCTCCATCTCTCCTTTTTATTCTCTTTCTTTCTCACTTATGATCCCCAACTCAGTGACATTTCAGCCTGGTTGGAACATCAGACCAGTGTCGATATTTTTGTGTTTGCAAGGAGGGGCTGCTGGAAAAGAGCAGTGGGGAAAAGGTGGTTGGGGRAAAAAAAGAAATAAAGTGAGTTTTCATAGCCATGGGAAGGGACATTCCATGAATAATGCAGAAAATGGAAGGATGAGGAACATTTCCAGAAAAAAAGATTGCTTTGTGGGGCCGACGACTTTACTCCAAAGGAAAGGCAACTCACACATCTCAGCAGATCAGTGGGATTGCCTCAGAAGATTGCCTCAGCTCTGATTTGGGGTCCTGGGAAAAATAGGGCAGCCTGAGCTGCATCCCAAACCCGGCCTCGGGGCACTGGGTCACCCCTAAATCCATCCCTGAGCAATATGGGACTTTTGTTGGGGGTTTTGGGGCAAACAGAGCTAGCAGAGGGGACATGCCAGGCACACGGTGCTTTTCATGGGTGCCACAGCGGGATAGGCAGGAATACATCCTGCTGCAGCCAARTTTAGGGGAGAAGGGGGAATTCATGGATATTTAGGGCAAATCTGTGCTGGGCACATTTGCTTAGAGCAGTGAAAACCCATGGAAATCTGCTTTTGGGATTCGCTGTGAGCCCTTGCCTGCTGAGGATGGAGGGCGGTGGGAAGGACACRCAGGAATTTTCTGGGAGCAGGGGTTGGCTCTGGAGGATCAGCTGGGTGCAGGTGAGAGTTTCTGGGAGGAAGATCATTGGGATCAACCTGGAGGAAGACAATTTTTATTTTAATTTTTGTCTTCTTGAGAGACATTTACCCAGTTCAGAGTTTTCCTCCTGTTTGTGGCAAATTTTTTGTGGCAATTTCAGGTTCCTACAGCTGCTCTGATTTATGGCCTCRTCCCCAGCTCCAACAGGAGCTCCCCTGTCCCTGCTGAAACCCCAGAAATTCCCCCAAAAAACCTTCTAACACGAAGCTCTGCTGGAGAAGGAATTGATTTGGATTATTGGTGGTTTGGACAATGGCTTGGCCACCCTCAGCTGACGTTTTACAGTGGGAGTGGGGTGACCCGGCCGCGGGGAGCGCGGGGGAATTTAGGGACAGAGAATGACCCTGCTGTTCATGTCCCACATCTTTCCCAGGTGGAGCTCACTGGGAACAGCATCTACGAGTACATCCACCCCTCGGACCATGACGAGATGACCGCTGTCCTCACCGCTCACCAGCCCCTCCATCCGCACCTCCTGCAAGGTACTGCTGGGATCTGGGGTTAAAATACCACAAAAAAGGTAAAAAAGGGAACAATCCCAGGCTGAAATGTAGCAAATTGCAACTCAAACCATTCAATGAATCCATAAATTTGTATTTATCATATTTGAAGCTCCAATGGAGGAGCAGCATGAATTTAGCCCCATAACCCAGGATTTTTTGTTGTTGTACTAAATAATAAATTTATTATTTAAATTATTTAGGAATAAAGTTCCCTAAATTAAATAATGCCTTCCATGCCACAGAGCCTGCAAAGTTTTAAACAGGTTTTTATCTGTAGCCCAGTGGCTGTTTCATCTCTTTTATTTTGTCTTCATTTCTGAGGTTGCAGAAGTCTCGTGATGGCCTGGCTGGGCTCAGCTCAGCTGCACAGTCTGAACAAAAAAACAACCCACAAAACATCAGGGAATCTGTAAATCGAAGGACATTTAAAATATTTTAAATATAATTATTAAATTCAAAGCTTGGGCAAAAAACAGACCTAAGGAAGAGCAGAAAAGGGTTTGGTAAATGACCTGGGTTAGAAAATCTCATTAAAAAGAGAGTTTTTGAGGAAAATAATGTCCTCTTGCCTTGGCATCACCCTGGCCGTGCTCAGCCACCCACAGGAATATCGACACCACCCTGAGGGAGYTGGGACTCCAATGTTGTGACTTCTGCATCAGCACCCAACAATATTCTCATTCTTGCACTTGCTTCTTCAATAGTTTTGCTGCCTCAGGGGCGATTCCTTGAATTTTGGAAGATCAGCACTGATCTGGCTCCATCTCAATTTGCTTCCACTCATRTTTCACCATTGATTTATCAGCTGCAGCTCCCACCCTGCCAGTTTTTGTCAGTCTTTTCAAAGCACAGCTCCTAAAAAACATGAGGAATTAGGATCGGGCTGGTTTTGGTTTTTTGTTGGTTGTTTTTTTTTTTGGTTTGGGTTTTTTTTGGTTGTTTGTTTTTTTTTGGTTTTGGGGTTTGTTTTTTTTCCGGTTCTGGTGCCTGTGCTTTGTTCTGGCTTCTGTGATTCCATCAGGGAGAATGGTGCTCTCTCTGAATTCAGGGAAATTTGATGGGCYTGGAAGCACCTGGGCTGCTCCAAATRCTGAAAATGGAGGAATTATCTCAGYTTCCTTCTCTTTTCTTCCTCCCCAAACAGGTTGTCTTGGGAAAAACTCTCCCTYGGTGTCTTGGGAAGCAAACTCTTATTTTTCTCAAAATCTTCTGTAAGATTATTTCATACTTTGCTCATTCCTCTGTCAGAATTTTTTAAAATATTGATATTAAAAAAAAAAACAAACCAAACATTTCCCCCTTTTTTCCTACTTAGTGGTAAGCAGAGGAGATACCTCTGATATACAATATTTCAGGGTGATTTTGATGGTGGGACTGGAGAATTTTTTTAAGGGATCTTCCAGCCTCAGAGATTCTGTGAAACCCATGAGGTTTTGTGCAGGTTTTTTTGCAGGTATTTTCATACCTGCTGTCTTGGTAATGGCAATAACCTCCTATTTTTCTTATAATATAAAAAGATTTTAATTAATTATTAGTATTTTTTATGAATTTATAGTCAAAAGCAACAGATTTGGAYTAGTTTCTCTGTCAAAAGCAAATAACCCCATAGCTCTTCCTGTTCTTCCCAGATCAATTCCTCATTCTCTGTAGGTTCCTTTGCCTCATCCTGCATTTAAAAGGAAATTTAGGATAGGAATAAGCAAGATTATTTCAAATTTTGAAATCTTGAAAAATTTAGGATAGGAATAAGCAAGATTATTTCAAATTATGAAATTTTTAAAATTTTAGGATAAGAATAACGAAGATTATTTCAAATTTGGATCCATTTCTGTGTGTTTTGTAYCAAATTTTGTGCAGCAGAGGAAATGAATTAATAAAAATCTCAARGCAACAGCATCTCCTTTGAATTCCTAGACTTGGAGAAGGGAAATAAAGGAATTCAGCTGTGTTCTGTTTAGGGATTATTTTATTTTATCTTAGTTCTCTGTCTCTCACATGCAATGTATGGGTGTATCAAAATATCCACGCTCTGCACCTAAATCTTTTTAAAATGGACAAAATGAACCAATATTTATTTAATTTTGTCTTCCCTGCTTCAGTAATTCCCTTTCCTGCAGTGTTTTATGCACATAAATATCGAGATACAGCCTGAAACCTCCTGGCCTGCCATAATCAAAGMAGATTTCTTATTTAATCCAGTGAGACTTAAAAATTATTAATAAATGACAGGAATGAAACAACTTCTGTCTGTACCTGAGTAGATATTTTTGATGTTTAAATAAAACAAAGAGTTCTACAAATAACTTGGGACAGAGGGCAATGGAGTGAAAATGGTTTTATTAAAAAAAAAAAAAAAGAAAGAAAAAAGAGAAAACCAGACAATTTTAAAGAGCTTTTTTTTGCCATTTCAATTTGATATTCTCTCTTTTAATCTCTTAAAACACATCTGAATCACTGAGTCACTGGKTGGAATAAAAACTTCCCTTTTATACCTTAATTATGTCACAGACTTCTCCAATCTGGGGCATTGCTCAGGCGTAAAATCAATATTGCACTGCAGACACAGGCTTTTATATCCCAAATTTACAGCTTGGCTCCTGGAACCTGCCTTGCTTGAGATATTTTTTTCAGCTAAAACTCAGATATTTATATCCATTTTTTAGCCCAGGTGCTATTCCAGCRGTTGCAGCCAGATAAGATCTGTTTGGAGAGAAATAAAATCACAAATGTCAACAATATCTGTGCTTTGGGGTATTCTGTTGCTGATATCAAATAACCCAGAGCATGGATTATTTCTGACCTCCAGTTTTACAGTCTTTGGAAATTTGGATCTTTTAATTTATTTTGCAGGGAAACGTAAAATATTGCTTTGCATAAAATCAGGCATAGTGTGGATTTCTTTATGTAATCCTCTCTGTCACATTGCTTTTCTTTAGATAAGTCACTGGTATTAAAAAAAAACACTTTATATAATAATATATAAAAGTTTATTCTTTATATATGAGAAATAAATTAAATTTATAATATAAATAATATATTAATTACTAGTTTAGTGATATTACTAATATTATATTTTTATAAAAAATATATTAAAGCATAAGCCTTTAAAAATTATTACATTTCAGGGTTTTTTTAAGTTTGTCCTGGACTTTGTCAGGTTCCACGCAGAACAAGGCACAGCYTCAAACATCAGGTGTAGATTGTTTCTTTYGCTAAAAGACAGGGGAAATATTTGAAAAATCACATGACTCCAGAAGTTTGGACTTCATAGCAATATTAAAGGTAATAAAATTTGGGAATTTGGTGAGGGGAGTGCCCAGAGAAGCTGTGGCTGCCCCTGGATCCCTTTGAGTGCCCAAGGCCAGGCTGGACATCGGGGCTGGGAGCAGCCTGGGACAGTGGGAGGTGTCCCTGCCATGGCTGGGGTGGAATTAAATTATTTTTAAGGTCCCTTCCACCCCAAACCATCCCATAATTCTCTGACCTGTTTCGTTTTTCACAGAGATTGGGAAGTGTCTTGATGACTGTGTGCACAAATTTCCAAAGAAGCAAATCACTGGGAACTAAAAGATGGATTTAGAGTGAAAGAAAAACATTTSAAGGCATTATTGTTGCATTTCAGTGCAACATTTGTGCACTGAAACCACAAAAGCTCAAATCAGAATAATGCACACATTTATAATTAGGAGTCTGATGAGCCACAGAAGAAATATTCTCAGGGAAGCAGTGATTTTTTCCAATTTATATTTCTTCAGATTGMGGTTGAGTATCTTTGCAGAGGCAGAATTTAGGCAAAGAGAAGTTACTGAGGCCAGCACAGGMATAAAATGCTTTTAATATTTATATTGAATGCCCTGAAATGCCCAGGTTACCCCTCTGATCTCATTCTCCTTTGGATTCTAAATCTCCAGGCCCTGACTCGATGAAAACCATAAACCCCACAATCTGTGGAGGCTTTGGAGAATTTCAGCTTGAACTCAAAAAGTCTTTAAGCTGCTTTTTTCTTGCATGACCAGCACAGAAAATGTAAAGGAATAGGTGCAGATGCCTCGCTATGAAAGGAGCCGACAGCTGGACCCTTTCTGAGGGAGTTTTGRGGTGGGGAGAAAGAATAATCTCCCTGACACACATTAAATCAGGGAATGGCTCAGCAAAGCACCTCAGAGTCTTCACATGTAACCAAATAAATCCATTTAAAATCCAAATAAAACTAAATAAMTCCATTTTTTTTTCAGCTGGGGTGAGTTAGGAGGAAAAATCAGGGAGAGGTGAATAAAAGAGGAGAATATTTTAGTATCTGTTCCAAACTAAGTGTGCTGGCTGCGTTCAGTTCTCAGGTGATTTAAGGGTGATTTTCATGGTGGGCCTGGAGAATTTTGAAGGGCTCTTCCAGCCTCAAAGATTCTGTGAAATCCATGACATTTTCTACAGTTTTGCTTGTATCCAGAATCAGTATTCTCTCTGGACTCACATGGAGTTTGCTTGAAAGGACTCCCAAATATTGCTGGGAGTGTTCCTGCTCTGCAGCACCTCGGTGGCTTTGGGGTTGGTTTGGTACCTGGGAAGATTCAAACCTGAGTTTTGCATTCCTGAGCCTCCTGGGTTTGCTGCACAGGCTGAGATCGGGCTGAGATCAGGATTCTTGGGGTTTTGTGCTGAAATAGGATGAGAAAGMAACAGTTTTGGGGTCTGGGAACCTGTAAAGTGATCTTTGTGACCGGCTGGAGACTCGGTGCCCGCTGCAGACCCCCTGCTTGGAGCAGGGCCCCTGTCAGGGGGTGACTGTGGGGCTCTGCCAAATTCTGGATCATCATGGAATATCCTGAGTGGGAAAAAACCCCAGGATCACCCGGTGCCACCCCTGTCCCTGCCCAGCCCCCCCAGCAATCCCAGCCTGTGCATCCCTGGCAGCGCTGTCCAAACGCTCCTGGAGCTCTGGCAGCCTCGGGGCCGTGCCCGTTCCCTGAGGAGCCTGGGCA